CAAAATGCGGCATATCCACACAATGAACTGTTACTCAGTCAACCTTGAAATTATGCTAATAGAAAGAAGCTGGACATATTAGGCCCCATATTCTATAATTCCTGTTAGAATAACCAGAGTCAGCAAATCCTTAGAGACAGAAAACAGATTAGAAGCTGCCAGAGTCACAAGGGAACAGGAAAATGGGGAGTAACTGGTGAACAGAGTTTCCTTTGGGATTATGGAAAATGTTCTAGAACTAGAAAATGGTGATGGTTGTATAAAACTGTGAGTATACTAAATGTCACTAATGATCAATTTATGTCCTGTGTATTTTACCACATTAAAAATACATACATACTATTTTCACTTAAATGATGTGGTAAAATTCATGGCTATACAAAGTAGAACAGTGGTTACTAGGGGCTGGTGAGAGGAGTAATGAGAAGTTGTTTAACGGACATCGAGTTTTACAGCAGATGAAGAAGTTCTGAAGATTGGTTGCACAACAATGTGAATGTACTTACCACTACTGAACTGTACACTAAAACACTGGTTAGAATAGTAAATTTTATGTATATCTCACTGTAATTTTAAAAATTAAATTAAAATATAGTAAGACATTTCATGAAAACTACAAATATTTCTGATGATACAAATATATTTAACAAAATAACAGGTAATCAATTCAACAGAGTAAAAATAAAAATAAACAAAACATGACCAAATGAGGCTTAAGCCAGGAACACAAGGTAAATTAAACATTCAAAAATCATCAATGTAGTTTACCTCATTAATGGAAAAAAGGAATAAAAAAAATCACATGTTCAGCAATAAAAGATAAAAAAATTGACAAAATTCTACTCCAATTTATGACTAAAGATAAAAACTCTCAATAAACTAGAAACAAAAATAAATTTTCTCAATTTGATAAAGAACATCTATTAAAAAATCTACAGCTTACATTGTACCTAATAGTGAAAGATTTAAGATCAAGAACAAGAAAAGGCAAAGATGTCCACTCACTACTTTCATTCAACATTGTACTGGAAGTACTACCCAATGCAAAAGGGCAAAAAAAAAAGCATCTATGGATTGGAAAGGAAAAAAGCAAAACTGTTTTTATTTGTAGATGACATCTTTTATGCGCAAAATCCAAAGGATTCTACCGAAATGCGACTGTAACAAGCAAATTTTAAAAGGTTGAAGGATACCAAGTCAATATATGTTAACAAATCTATTTTTTCAAACGAGCAATCAAAAAATTGAAAATTGAATGTATAATAAAATTTTAAATAACACCATTTACAATAGTATAAAAGCCATAAAAAAACCTTTAGAATATATATAACAAAACCTGTAACCTGAAAATTACATATCACTGCCTAGAAAAATTAAAGAAAATTTAAATAAGTAACTTTTTGTGAATTGGAAGACTCAATAATGTTAGTTTTCTTCAAATTGATCTGTATGTCCAAAACACTTCATCCAAAACTCCAGGAAACAATTTTCTGTTAGAAATTGACAAGCTGATTCTAAAATTTACAATGAAATGCAAAGGACCTCAAAGAGTCAAAACAATTTTCAAAAATAAGAACAAAGCTAAAGGATTTACCTGATTTTAAGACAAATTAATCAAGTCAGTGCAGTGTTGGCATAAGGATAGACATATACATCAGTGAATGAAACAGAGAGTCCAGAAATAAACCATGCATATATGTTCAACTGAGTTTGACAAGAAGGCTAAGGTAATTCTGTAGGAAGTCTTTTCCAACATAGAAAAAAAAAATCTTTGCAATTTGTGATGGGCAGGATTTCATATACAGAGCACTAAAAACATGGACCACAAAAGGAAAAAATTGATAAATCGAACTCTGTCAAGATCCAAAATTTTATCAGAAGAAAACATTAAGATAATTAGAAAGGAAGCTGCAGACTGAGAATAAAATGCATATTTGACAAATCATGTACAGAACATATAAAGAACTCTAATACCTCAATATTAAGAAGAGAACACAATGGGTGAAAAAAAGGGGAAAAAGATTTGACAGACACTTCACAAAGGAAGAATGACACATATATAATGTGATTATCACACCAATAATCACATTAGTTACCAGGGAAACAGTAATTAATTCTACAAGGAGAAACCACTATACTCATTAGAAGGGCTAAAATTTAAAATGACAATACCAAGAGTTGATGAGTATACAGAATAATGGAACTCACATAAGTTGCTAGTGGAAATGTGAATTGGCACAATCACGTTGGGAAGCAGTTTGGAAGTTTCTTATAAAGTTATAGACACACTGAACATATAATTGAGTATTTACTGAAGAAAAATAATTATGTTCATGCAAAAACTTGTACATGAATGTTTATGGAAACTTCATTTATAAAAGGGAACAATCTGAAGAACCCAAATGCCCATTAATAGATGAAGAGATAAACAAATTAAAGTATGGGCATATGATGAAATACTATTCAACAATAAAAAATGAATACTCACACACAACAACTTGAAAACAACTAAAAACATTATGCTGTAAAATAAGCCAGATACAGAGGTCAAATATTGTATGATTTCACTTATATGAGTGACTTAGTTTAGTCAAATTTAGAGAGACACATAGAGAAGTTAGTACCAGGGGCAAGAGGGAAAGGAGGAGGAGGAGGTATTATCGAATGGGTACAGTTCCAGTTTGTGATGATAAAGTTCCGGAGATGGATGGTAGAGATGGTTGCACAGCACTGTGAATGTACTTAATGCCACTGAACTGTACACTTAAAAACGGTTACGATGGTAAATTTTACGCTAGGTGTATTTTACCACCCCCCATCCAAACCATTAGGTAGAGGGAAAAAAGACAGTAAAAGAGTATATACTGTGTGGCCATTTATGTGGTGTACCAGAACATGGAAAACTAAACTATAATAATGGAAACTGTATTAACGGTTTCCTGGGATGGGGGAGAAAGGGAAAACCAACTGGGATGGGGGAGAAAGGGAAAACAGACTGTAAAAGGTCTAGAGGAAACTATTTTGAGTAACATAAATGCTGTATATCATGAAAAGGAAATCTTGTATATCTTACATTTGTCAAAACTTATTGAAATCTACACTTAAAATTGGTTCATGTTATTGCATGCAAATTACACTTTGACATATTTATAAATAAACAGATTGATAAGTAAACAAGTATGCTTGATAAAAAAATAAAATGCAACAGAGTAGAAAATACTATAAACTATTCTTTCTAGAAAAAAGGTTATGTCTTATAATGAAAAGAAGGCAGTGACTAGGGGGAAATATATAGGGAAAGGAGCATTTTTAAGATAAAAGAGACATAAGTATATTTAACTATTTCAAACCAGACTGAAAATTCAGAGGGAAAAGAATATAAAAACTGGAAATGTTTTGTTGCCACTGCTTTATATGAGATTCTGTTCTCTACATTCCCACGTCAATCGAAGTCTTACAAATAAAAAAACAAAAAAGCAAAGAAAACAATTTCAAAGTATGAGTAGACAAAAGTAGACAAAGTAGACTGAAATATCCAATAGAGGAAACTCAGCAAATTTTAAGAAATCAAGAACACATTATTCCCATATACCTGTATGTTAACAGTAAATATAGTAATAATGGGATTAACAGTATAAGCAGATTTTTACTAACACTGACCTTGTATTAACACACTGACCTTCTACAAAGAAATTACAAAAAAGAAAACCTAGCATATTTTATAAGAAGTAGAGGGTTATTAAATACCAAAATGACATGCTCTAATATTTCAGGTATTCTCCAAGCTTGGCAGCTCAAACAAAATGGGTCAGCAGGACAATAATGGCAACTTAGGACCATTAACAAACAGAGTCAAACAAATAGCAATAGCTTTTCAATACCATCAAAACATATTTAATAACTCCTCATCAAAGGACTCATTATGTATTAAATAGCCTCACAAGAACATCATCTTCAAATACTGAGGATAACAATGAAATATTTTCCCAATAAAAGAACACTGAAGTTAATGAAAACTCTACTTTAGAAAGTAGGACAGCCAAAGAATTCTAATGAAAGAGATCACTACTTATCTCAGGTAGCATACCAAATTCAGACTAAGGCATGTACTTTGAATTCTCACACCCTGTATTCTGGCTTCCAAAACATCACTTTTTCATAGTCATCTTTGATACCCATGATTCTATGATTTAGAGTAAGGTAATTTTTTAACTTCAGTCTTTTTAAAAGCCTCTACAAACTTTATGTCAAGGCTTCCACACGAAATACGTTCAAAACATACCTAATATTGTTACCTTTATTTGCAATTCAATGACAAAAAGTAGTATTATTTTATCAACTTTTATCAACTTTTAGGTATGTTCTTTCCATAAATTTAACTTTTACAATTTATATTCATCCATTTCTCTACAGATACCTTCATTTATTAAGTACTTTTTAAGACCCCCAAAACTGGGGATGTATATCTGACAAAGAAATTACACGTACAAAGTAGATGTGCCTCATACACATCATTAATAAACTAGAATAGTACTCCCAAAGAGCTAAGAAATAACATTATCAAAATTCAAAATCCATTAATTGAAAAGCATTAGGAGTTAGCAAGGCAACAATAGATAGTCTTGTGAGTGAAATATTTTTTCTTCAGATGCTGATGAAAAATCAAAGGTAACTGCTATGCCTCTGGTTACAACAATATCAACCTACTTCAATAGTAGTTTCCAAAACTTCCCTTAATAGATGACTGCTACAAATCTTTGCATCAAAAAATTTGGAAAGTTGAGTAAAAAAGAAAATGTAAATTGGAAAGTAGTTTGCTTTTGATGCTTGTTTTTTAACCTTTTTGGGGAAATTCTGGCATCACAGAATGTCTTTTTTCTAAAACTCTTTGCTACCATAAGATCAAAGATATTAAGTCATCAAAATATATTTGCAATTTTCTGTTTTCAATAAGAATTGTCTTTTGTATAATAAATCATTCATATAAGGTTTTATCTCACCTGGCCAATTCTTTAATTAAGTTTGCAATGCGTCTTTTGTCTTCAAGACATAAATCCTTCAGTGATGCACTCTTTATTTCTCCCCTGCAGGAATTCTTAAAAAAAAAAAAAAATTAGTTACACTTTTTCTAAAGCCAATTTTTAAAGTCTTTTCAAGAAACCTAGGTTCAAGGTGAAATTTCTTAGATATCTTTTATCTGGTGGAACACTATCTACCTGTTTCAATTTAAACCTACTGTGAACTAAAAACAGGCTAAGGAACTGACTGTCCACTAGGACACTTCATGAGATTTACACAGAGAAGCAAACAGAAAGAAACTAAACGCAGATGTCCCCCACTTAGATACTAGGGTATATTAGGGAAACAACTTTCCCTTTGTGAATGTCATAGAAACAAACACTCAACAGAAGATACTGAGAACTGTTATTACGCCATAGTCCCCATGCTGCTTAAGGGTATACTAACATTAGTAGCAGAGGCACCAGTTACTAAGCATTCGAAATATCCTAATGTTCACCCCAAAGAGTACTAAACCAAAGAGTAATAATAGCAATAGCTAACAATTACATCTAGTGCTCACTGCATGCCAGGAATATCGTTAAGTACTTTGTACTTACTATTCCGTTTCATTTGCATAACAATGCTATTGAGTATTAATAGATACTATTCCTATTCTACTTTAAGGGTACATATCCAGGATTATAGCAATTAAACAGCAGAATCAAGACTCAAACACAGGTTCCAGAGTCTATGCTCTTTAAACGCCATATTATTCTAATCTTTTGTGCTACAAAAAGTTTTCCCCGGTACCTCAGCATCATTAAGAGGAGTCCTTAAAGAGACATAAACTCAGGGAGTCACGAAGGAATCGTAGGTAACATGTAAAAGGAAGGAGCTACAATCCTTGGCATTTGCACAACCACCAAAGTTAAGTTAGTCCAATTACTTCAGGTAGCCAAGAATAACTGAAAACCCCTAAAGTGAATTCTGGAAATAGTAATAGCCGAAGGTGGGAAAGAGAGTAGGAAAAGAAATGGAGAAAAGAAGACAATAATAAAATAAGTTCAGTTTTAGAAATGCTCAATGTAAGATGCCAGCAAGCCATTCATGTAGAAATGTCTAGGCAGGAAGCTGGAAAGGTAGGTCTAGCTTTCAAGCTAGAGAAAATCATAAAGATTTAAAAGTCAGTTGTATGGTATTATGGACAATGTTGAGATTTTTTTATTATTCTTTATACTTTTCTATGTTTTAAATTTTTCATTAATAACTATGTATTTAAAATTAAGAAAACAATATTAGTATTTTAAATTTCATCTACAAGTCCAAGAAAATTGGCATTTATTTTAATTTCAATTTAAGTAATTGGATTTTAATTTAATTTAAAGTAGCATTTGAAAGGACAAGTGGAGAATCAGAAGCATATAACACTGTAGGAGAAAACAAGAAAGAAAAAGTTTCAAGAACGGTGTGGGTTCAACAGTGCTAATGATCAAAAAAGACAGCTAGACGGGGGGAAGAAGGCAATGGATTTGGCAATGGAAGAAGTTGCCGATAACCCATGAAAAGGCATTTCATTAGTGATGCGCTGAGTAAAAGAACAAAAGAGAAATCTTTGTACCTAGGCAAAAAAAAAATTAGCGGCATTGTGTTTACAACAGCAAAAATCTGAAAACACAAATGTCTATTAACTAGAGAATAGTAAAACTGTGGCTGGCATATTGATACAATGAAATTCTAGAGGTACCAGTAGTTATGCTACTAACTTTCCCCCTCAAAACTACCCTTCCATCCTCTGCTTTGAGATGCTAAGGCTAAGACTCTGGAAACACCATTTCTCCTTTGCCACCTGGTGCTCTCTTGAACCCTGCCAACACAAAGAACTAGATGAAGACCAGGAAGAAAGAAGGAAGGATATTTCCTTCCTGTTACTGACAGTGTCACCCCTGAGTTCCTTACCCTGGCAAGTACTGCTGATTCCAGTTTGCAATTTTTTCCAGCCCTTACAGAACCAGCCTTTATCAGGCCTCCTCAGGAATGACAGAACCAGCCTTTATCAGGCCTCCTCAGGAATGTCAGTACCAGCCAGGTTAGTGTCCCATCACCAGAGGTCCAAACTGCAGCTTTAAGGGGCCCCTCCTCTAAGCTTTTAAGTTTCAATAATTCCAACTTATTCTGCCCTCTCATCCAGTTCTAGAGATTGTGGTTGTTTCTTACAGTTACTACTTTCATGATACCTTAATGTTCCCTTTTTGCCTTTTTGGTTCTCTAGCACTATTCAGTAATTTTTTCTTTTAAATATTCTAAGTTAAAATAACTGACTAAACCCTGAGACATCAGTGAAAAGAAATGAAATATAACGACATACAACATAAAGAAATCTCACATAACATTGGAAGAGACATAGAGGGAAAAAAAAAAAAGAACTCTCATAAACATAATATGAAATAAAAAAGCAAATCACACAATACAAATGGATATGAGCTCATTTATATAAAGTTCCAAATATATATGAAATTAAACACTGTTTCAAAAAAACTGTATTTACACTATAGGACAGGGCTTGGTAAACCATGGCTGCAAGCCCAATCTGGCCCACTGCCTGTTTTTGTAAACAAAGGTTTATTAAAACACAGCCATGCTCATTCATTTGCATATTGCTCATGGCTCTTTTAATGCTACTGTGGCAGAGTTGAGTTGTTGAGACAAATATTATGGCCTGCAAAAGCTAAAGTATTTACTATCTGTCCAATATACAGAAAAAGTCTGCCAACCCCTGATATAGAAAAACAAAAGAATTATAAAGTTCAGGATAGGAATTACCAAAGAAGAAAACATGATAAGGAAAGGCCACATATCTACAGTCACTTGACTTAGAACAACGGCATCATTGCAATTCAGAGGAGAAAAAGAATCCTCTTCCCAATAGATGGTGTTGGGCCAATACTGACAGTCTATTGACCCAATACTGGCAGTCTATGGGCCCAACACCATCTACTGGGAAGAAGATTTTTTTCTCCTCTGAATTGCAATGACTGTGACCCTTACTTTACACTACACATGCATATTACTTCCTGATGAACAGTAGGCTTAACTGTGAAAAATAAAGCAATATGGCCACAAAAGAGAGGAACTTGCTGCAGAGTATAATCAGCTAACAGCCTCCAGTTGCCAAACCTTCGGGATCCACTGCAGTGTTCATGCCAATGCCAATGACTGGGAACAGTAGAGACACTAGAACTGAGCTATTTCTGATCCAAACGGCATCCTCAAAAGTCAGAACTTGCTCTGGGGTTCCTCACTAGCAAAATGGACACTACCTCAGATTGCACGGCAATCTGAAGTCTGAGGTTCTTCCTAGTCAATCTTCCTTCTTTTCCTCTCCTGTCACAGGTGCCAGACTGTAGTGAAATCTGAGAACTCCCCTTTTCTATTCCTGCTCATTCTACTCTTTATGCTTTATAGGCTTTTCCTTCATTAAATCTCTTCCATTTCTAATTCCACCTTGTGGTCTGCTTCCCAGAAGACTTGAACTGACCTAATTGCCACTGTGAAATCCTAATGAATTAAGGATACTGAACATCAATACCAACAAAGACTACATGCAGAAAAAAAATCACAAGATGGCCGGGCGTGGTGGCTCACGCCTGTAATCCCAGCACTTTGGGAGGCCGAGGTGGGTGGATCACGAGGTCAGGAGTTCAAGACCAGCCTGGTCAACATGGTGAAACCCTGTCTCTATTTATACAAAAATCAGCTGGGCATGGTGGTGCATTCCTGTAATCCCGGCTAGTTGGGAAGCTGAGGCATGAGAATTGCTTGAATCAGAACCCGGGAGGCAGAGATTGCAGTGAGCCGAGATCGCACCACTGAACCTAGGCTACAGAGCGAGAATCTGTCAAAAAAAAAAAAACAAAACTCAAGACATGCTCTTCAGTGAAAAAAAGGAAAAAAAAAAGCATATCACCATTTCTAGTCTTAAGAAAAAGCATACACAGACACACATACCCCCTATGTAGGACATCCTCTTCTAGCCCAGATGGAGTAACAGGAACCAGATTTACCCTAGTTTCAGAAAACAAAACAAAAACCTGACAAAAGACAGGAAACAATAGTTTTCATTGGATAGCAAGAAACACAGAATTATGATCACTAGAACTGCAGAGCCAAACAAGGTGAGCCCTACAACTGTCCCAGCTAACTGCTGTGGAGAGTTTTCAGGGCTAAGGTAGGTAAACCCAGACAGAGCCCAGCAATCTCCCTGAGTTGAAAAGGTACAGCTGGGAGTCCAGGAAAGCCAAGGTTTCTAGCGCTTGCAGGGCAAAGTAATGGCAAGGATAGAGCTGTATAGGAGAGCTCCAGGGATCTGCACAATCCCTTCGCATCAGCTACTGAGCACTGACCAGCATATGTATGTGAGAAAACTACTCATCCCAGGGAAAAAGTTGAAAATGAACAGTGGAAACAACATCTGTAGCCAATACAGCATAGGAGAACAGTCTGTTCCCACCAACCAGAGTGGAAAACCTTGTAATTTAAGGGGCATCAGGAAGAGTATTCAAAAGGGTATGCCCTACAATGGGTAAAATTACCCCTATACTAAAAGCTGCTCTGGCACCACCTTTAAAAGCTTAAAACCAAGGTTGGAAAGAATCAGATTACTTCCAAATAACGTATTACTGTCTCAGAACCCAAAAAGGCAAAATGCACACTGTCTTGTGACATCTAATTAAAACCAAGCAAGCAGGCAAAGAAGAAGAAAAATACAGCCTATAATTAGGAGAAAAAATGCTCAATTGAAACCTACCCACAAATGACTTGGATAATAGAACTCCTAGTCAAGAATATTGAAACAATTATTATAACTGTGTTCCGTATGTTCAAGAACCTAGAAGAAAGCATCTCAAGTGCAACATGGAAGATGTAAATAAAAATAAGAGACCAAAACTGAACTTCTAGAGATAAAACTACACTGTTTCATATGAAAAATACACTGGATGAGATTAGTGGCAGGTTAGACATTGCAGAAGGTTAATGAATTTGAAGACACAGCAACAGCAATACAAACTATCCAAGGATAAAAAGAAAAAATTTAATGAAAAAAATATGAACAGAGGATCAGAGAGCTGAGAGGGTAACTTCAAAAGGCCTAGTATTTTGTAACTAAGGTCACTAGAAAGAGAGGGAAGCACAAAAATATCTGGAGAAACAATGGCTGAAACACTTCCCAATTTGCTGAAAACTATAAACCCACAGTTCCAAAAAGTTCAACAAACCTCAAACAAAACAGATACTTAAAAAACTATTCCAAGTTAGGTTGGGCATGATGGCTCATGCCTGTAATCCCAGCACTTTGGGAGGCCGAGGCGGGCGGATAACGAAGTCAGGAGTTCAAGACTAGCCTGACCAACATGGTGAAACCCCATCTCTACTAAAAATACAAAAATTAGCCGGGTGTGGTGGTGCGCACCTATAATCCCAGCTACTCAGGAGGCTGAGGTAGGAGAATCGCTTGAACCTGGGAAGCGGAGGTTGCCATGAACCAAGATCGTGCCACTGCACTCTAGCCTGGGCAACAGGGCAACACTCTGTCTCAAAAAAAAAATTACTCCAGTGTATACTATAACCAAATTGCTCAAAACCAGTGATAAGAAGAAAATCTTAAAAGCAGCCAAATTTAAACACATACACACACAAAAATAAATAGGAATAAAAATGACAGCCAACTTCTCAAAAACAATACAAGCCAGGCAACAGTGCAACAACATCTTTAAAGCACTAAATGAATAAAAGTATCAACTCAGAATTTTGTAACCAGTAAAAATATCTTTTGAAAAGAAAACAGAAATAAAGACTTTTCAGGCACACATGAGCTAAAAAAATTCTTTCCTAGTATACCTGAACCAATGTTAAAGGAAGTCTTTTAGGAAATCTGGATACATACAAAAAAAATGAAATCACGAGATTTCTAATTGTAACTACATAAGTAGATTTAAAAGACTTCTGGTGCATTTGTAAAATTTCTTTAAAAGGCAATTAAAATAAAATGCATTCAAAATGGAATAAAGGTATCCAATAAGAATATGTAAACTATCTCTATTCACAGACAACTTTATCTTACATAGAGAAAATGGTAAGAAATTCACAAAAGAACTATTGGATTAGAAATAGTTTGATAAAGTTGCAGGATACAAGATCAATTCACAAATCAACTGAATTTCTATATACTAGCAATAAACAATCCAACAGTGAAATTCAGAAACAACTGTGTTTCTAATAACATCAAAAAGTATAAAATGTTTGCTGACTCTATAATGCCTATGGAAACACAGGGACCCAAAATAGCCAAAACAATCTTGAAAAAGAAGAAGTTGGAGGACTTATACTTCCTAATTCCAAAAATAAAAATATAAATCAATGGAACAGAATACAGAGAGTCCAGAAATAAACCCTTGCACTTATGGTCAACAGACATTTGACAAGGGTGCTGAGAAATGCAAAGGGGAAAGGACAGTTTTTTTTAACAAATGCTGGGACAACTGGATAGCTATATGCAAAGGAATAAAGTTAAGCTACCACTTCACACCATATATAAAAATTAACTCAAAATGGACTGAGAACTAAATACAGGAGTTAAACCTTTAAAACTCTTAGAAAAAAATGTAGGCACAAATATTTGTGACCTTGGATTAGGCAACAAAAAACACTAGCTAAATTGAACTTCATCAAAATTTTAAACTTCTATGCTTCAAAGAACACCAATAAAAAAGTGAAAAGGCAATGCATAGAATAAGAAAAAATATTAGCACATAATGTATCTGATAAGGGACTTGTAGATGGAATTTAGAAAGAACTCATAATTTAACAGAGCAAAGATAAGTAACCCAGTTAAAAAAGGATATGACTAGATATTTGTCTGAAGAAGATATACAAATAGCCAAGAAGCACATAAAAACATGCTCATCATCATTTACTCACTAGGGAAATGCAAATCAAAATCACACTGAAATACCACTTCACACCCACCAGGATGGCCATCCTCAAAAAACACGGACATAAATGTTGGCAAGAATGTGAAGAAATCTGAATCCTCACATAGTGCTAGTCAAATGTAACATGGTGTAACCACTTTAAAAAATAGTTTGGAATTTTGTCAAAAGGTTAAACATAAAATTACATGACACAGCAATTCACTTATAGGTATATACACAAGATAACTGAAAATATATGTCTACACAAAAACTTGTATATGCATGTTCATGGCACAATTATTCATAAAGCTAAAAAGTTGAACATGTCCATTGACTGATAAATTGATAAACAAAATGTATATTCAGACATAAAAAGGAATAAAGTAATGATACAGCATAGATGAACCTTGAAATAATTACGCTAAATCAAAGAAGCCAGTCACAAAAGGCAACATATTATGTGATTTCCTTTTATATGCAACATCAATAACAAGCAAATCTATAGAGACTGAAAGCAGATTAGTGTTTGCTAGGGGCTGAAATGACTAGGTATTGAGGAGTGCCTGCTAATTGGTATGGTGGTTCTTCCTAGAGTGATAAAAATGTTTTGAAAATAAACTGTGGTGATGGAGCCACAACTCTGTGAATATAAACACACACAAAATCAAAATAATAAATTGTACACTTAAAAGGGTGAATTTTATATGCAAATTACATCTCAATTTGAAAAAAAAGACAGTTAACTATTTAAAGCAAAAGTAAAACATATTTTGGGGTCTGTGCATACAAGTAAAGTGTATGACAACAATATCAAAAAAGTCAGGAGGGGAGAAATAAAGTACAATGTTGAAAGGTCCTTAAAGTATAGGTGATGTGGGAAAGTATCACTTGATAATGGGCTATGATAAATTAAAGATGTATACTATAATCTCTAAAGAAGCCACTGAAATAATTCAATCCAAAGTTATAGCCAATAGGACAAAAATACGAACTTAATCTAAAAGAAGGCTATTGTTCAATGTAAAACAAATCCATCATTATGTGAAAAAACATTTTTAACTTTTTTTGATAAAAACTTGCAAATTCAACTATTCACACCCCAGTGTGAAGTGAGTACACTGGTACCAGTAACATAAAGTAGGCCTTTTGATTCAATCACAGTAAAATCCTGTAGTAATAAAAGACACACTGGAAATATCTTTGAGAACATAATTCACAGACTAAAAAAAGTTTTCTATAAAAGGTCTGATAGCAAATGTTTTTAGCTTGTTGGCATGCAGTCTCTGTAGCAACTCTGCCATTGTAACACAAAAGCAGCCACAGACAATTATGTAAAACAATGAGCACAGTTGTATTCCAAAAAAACAGTTATTTATAAAACAGGCAGGAGAAGGATTTGGTCCACAGGTTATAGATTCCAGAACATTCATATAAAAGTTTTGTGTAGACATCCTAGTAAGTGTGAAGTGGTACTGAATAACTCTGGTTGCAGACGGTAAACATAACAAAAATTAAAGTAAAATAAACTGGTCAGATAGGACATGTGCCAAAGGAATGCACCGATACTATTAATATGCCCAGTCATTGATTTGTCCCTCATCTTTACAAGGGACAAATCAATAATGTGGCATAGCAATAGTAAGAAAGATAAAGATATCATAAAGATTCAAAAGTAATAATCTTTATGATACTGTTTTCCAACTGAGGGAAATAATAAGGGCTAATTTTCTTTAATAATGTATCTTTCTTATGTAAAAGGGTTCATCCATCAAATAAATTCACAAGAATAAAAATCAAAAAGATGCCTAATTAAAAAAGCAATTCTTGTCAGTTTGATTCACTAATGCCACACAGATCAGAAGGTAGTTCTTTTGAGACATATCAAGATAATATATCATCACGGCTAACGCTTAAAGCAAGTCATATGTTTTGGAGCAAAATCCTTGAGTAATCTAGATAATTTAGGCTCAAACCTGGCATCACCAAAGGATCCTGGAATCCCCTGTATCTTTTAAGAATGTTTGTTTATCACCTAGTATACTTCCAAAGGTTCTTCTACCCTTTTTGGTCAGCACTCATAAAGACTGAAGAACAAGGGAAAAAAAAGACTAAAAAAATACTAACCTGTTCATCTACTGAATCTCCTGTGCCTTTTAAGGACTCCACAGAGATTGAAGCATCAGTCGCCTTGGAAGTCTTAAGTTTAACATCAGCTTTTGGACTTGTCAGCTTGTGTCTTGATCTGACATTTCCTTCAGTAGAAATGCCTAAGGATATCCATTAAACAAGATTTCAAAATTATATCTTATTATCTTAAACCCTCCCCCATCACCTGCTTCCTTGGAATCCTCTACTTTAAGGGACCTGATGGAAGAAACTCTCTTTATACTTTATAAACTTAATTTTAAAGCTCTTAATATATAAATCATAAAAATAATATGTTTTAAAGAAATACACTAAAGATTGAATTGAAATTTGTTTTTATTTTTATTTTTTTAAAGAGACAGGGTCTTCCTATGTTTATCCAGGCTGGACTCGAATTCCTGGGCTCAAGCAATCCTCCCATCTCAGCCTTTGGAGTAGCTGGAACTACAGGATCAAGCAACCATGTCCAGCTTAACTGAAATATTTGCAAAGGGTACTGTTAATGTTCATAAGTCACATTAAAACCAAGAAATTACAATATGCTAAATATACGTTAACTTAGGGGAAATCTATATTTTTCACCCTATATAATGAGGGTGCCTTCAATAGTTGCTTTACTACCATCTAGTTGCAACAATTAAACTCAAAGTGTCTCTCTTACATATACCCTGTATCAAGCAGTGGTCATACTTTTCTTTGAAATATTAAATTTGGCTATCATTTGTAAAAGAAAAAATAAGAAAAGAATCTTTTGCCCCTTACCACATGAAATGTTCTACAAGTTCGCTAAAAGCTGATTGGGCCAGTCAATCCCAAAGATAAGCCAGTATTTCAAACCTTAATAGGGTTATGCCAAATATTCAAAAAACAAATTTTAGGTTTTGATGTACTGCTCTGCATCCAGTTAGTTATACCTGCAACACTGTTCTAACAGTTTTATTTTCTTCTAACATTTAAGGACCAAAGTAAGTTTCCCAAATTTTAACATAGAAAATCATACCTGGAACGTACACTACTGATTGTTCTTCATCAGAAACTATGCAGGAGAACATGAAGGAAAATACAATAATATTATCCAGCATCCAAATGCCATTTCTGTTCTGTATAACTCTTATAATTCATAGTTTCTTTTGACCTGGGAATTTATAACTAACTTTTAAAAACAAAGTTAGAAAGCAAAGTAATTGAATTAAAAACAAAGTTAGAAAGCAAAGTAATTGAATTAAATGTGACAAAATTAATATTCTCTAAAAGTTCACCTTTATATATTTACAACTACACGTCTTATAAAAATCTTGGAAGGTCTTGTTCCATGAAACTTTTATCCACTCTCAAGTGGGTTACCCTGCAATATATACTCTACTATTAGGTTCCTTTCCTTTCCCTTTCCTTTTGTAAACAAAAAGTTAAGTGCTCCAGTTTGGTCATACTGGGGAACTGACAATTCTGAAGAGTAAATAATTTCAAGATGGTTTTTAGCTTTGAAGAAAAAACGCTGAGGGCAAGTCAATCATGCAAACACAAAGACATTATTTAATCTTCTACGGTGCATTCATAAAATATCCCAAGAAGCCCTACTATTTAAAAAGTAGAAGAAATTTAAGACAGAAAGAACTATTGTGAGTTTCGAAAGGAGAAATTTAGAAAGGCTATGATTATAACACACCATTTTCAACTGTCACCTTGATCCTACTCAACTTTTCCTCTCCCAGAATTATTGCAATAAGCTCCTAACTGCTCTCTGTCACTTCTGGGCATGTTCCCTTAATAGCCTATTTTTTCACACAGCGGTTAGAATGATCATTTTAATACTTATGTCATTTCTAATATAGATTAAAAGCCAAAGTATTAACAACAGCCTACCATGCTCAAGATCTGATCCCTATAACTTGTTACATCTCTGATCTCACTCCCTACTACTATTCCTCTCACTCATTTCTGGCTTTCTTACAATTGTTAACGAGCTATGCAAGCTCCTACCTTATAGCTTCTGCATGTATGATTTATTCTACCCAGGAAGCTCTTTCCCCAAATATCTTCATGGCTCACTTTAGGACTTAATGTCACATGTCATGTCATGTCACCTTCTGATTGAAGCTTTCACTTCCTAACCATATAGGTACCTGAAATTGCAAAACTCTCCCTTCCCACAACCTACCTACCTCCCCTACTCTTTCCTGCTTTATTTTTTCTCCACAGCACCAATAATCATTGAACATATATTTTCCTTATGCATGACCTGATCTCATTTCACTAAAATGTAAGCACAAGAAGGTGATGATTTATGTTTTATTTTGTTCAGTGTTGTACCCTCAAACACAAAAGAATGTCTGTCTCCATCTATGAAAGAATAAAATTAGTATTTATTTAATTTTATGAGGCATTGTCCAACAACCGTCAATGTTATTTTTCTCTGATTCAAAATATGCAAACAAAACTTTTTTTTTTTTTTTTTGAGACGGAGTCTCGTTGTGTTGCTCAGGCTGGAGTGCAGCAGTGCAATATCAGCTCACTGCAACCTCCACCTCCCTGGTTCAAGCAATTCTCTGCCTCAGCCTCCCAAGCAGCTGGAATTACAGGCACCCACCACCACGCCCAGCTAATTTTTTTGTAGTTTTACTAGAGACGGGAGTTTCATCACGTTGGCCAGACTGGTCTTGAACTCCTGACCTCGTGATCCACCTGCCTTGGCCTCCCAAAGCGTTGGCATTACAGGTGTGAGCTACCGTAACCGGCCAACAAAATCTTTTACTATCAGCTACATCCATGCCAAACTTCTTTTCGAATATATAAAACTCTAAATAGACAACTTCAATTTTTTTAAATAAGGATATCTGAAATTGCCTCTATCCTTTCTAATAATTTGTAATGTATTTTCATCTCATTATATTAAGAACTCAAATATTTACCTCCTTCAAATGTAGAATTTCCCAACAAATGTATATTTTATGGGGAAGTCAAACAGACACATTATATACCAAATGTATAGTGGGCTTACTAGTGGGTCATTTCTACATTATTTATAATACCTAAAACAATGTACATGCTATATAAATAGTTAAATTGTATAGTTTAATTTGGTTTTTTTTTTTGGTTGTTGTTGTGTTATTTCTTTTTTTTCTTAAATATTTTCCATCCACATTTGAATGAATCAGCAGATACAGAGGGCTAACTGTAATCAGAAACCCAGGCAGATGTGGTAGAGAGGAAGATGTACCTCTATCCCAGACCTCCAGGATATGAAGGAAATAAGCTCAGTACTGCCCATTCTACTCTAATCTGCTGAGTTTTACCAGCAATACATGTATATGTAATTAATTTCAACCACAGAGACTTTCTGGGCTAATATATTATTTTTGCCACAACATAAAGTCTTTGTTTCCATTTGAAAACTCAACAGTAGAGATTATATTGTTATGTTTTGACCAAGTAACTTGCAGTTCATATTTTTTAATATCAAGTCCCTGATATTGTTAATGGTAATACACTTGAGTGCATTTAAGCAGTCAAATTTAGGTACTGCTGAAACATTAACTCATTCTGACATTACTAGGAACTGTAACGAAGGTCAAAGCCAACTTAAACTGAAGGAGCATATTTTGCTGGAAGATTTAACCCATAAAATGACAACCCCACACACTCATTGTTTACACATGAGGTACTAAAACATACCTTGTGCAAAACAGCACTGCTGAATCATACTGTGCAGGAGATGCATAACTCACAAGAACAACAGTTAAAAAAAAAGCGGGGGGCATTCAGTCACAGATGATCTGTCCTCTCATGATGGAAACATCAAGGACTAAAAATCTCTCCATCACATTTCTCTAATTGTTTACATGAAGTATTGAAAATCTTTTTTCAATAGTGTGAAAAGAATACCAGATTATAGGTACATACTTTTTGGTCTTTTTCTATTGATAATTCTACTATAAAGGCTCTAGGGCGGTCTGGGAAATAATCAATATGACAAAGGGATCAAGATCCAAAGACATGTAGCTAAATCAAATGATTAATAACTATCATTATGCTTTTCAGCAAATACTCAGTAACAAATTTACATTTGACATTGCTTACAGTGACATTCTCTATGGAGATTTAAAATGAAAATATCTGAGGCTCGACGTTAACTGGTCATTATGTGGAACAGACTGGGGGAAAAGGTGACACTAGTAACCTTGCAATTCCTTTCATATATCTGAATTAGATCTTATAGGATATAATCACCACCATTTTTCCCCTGTACAATTTCAATTCCTCACTATCAATGAGAAGACAAATATTTTACATTAAATGTTGGGAGTCAGAATACAGGAGATAAGGGAGTATATATGACTTCTACATAAAACAGGGAGTGATATAACTACATGAGTAAGTGAAAGTACTGGGTGCGAAGACCAAGAGCATAAGTTCAGTCCATATATCTATTAATTAACTTATTCAGTCCCACTGCAATAGCTTGTTCCCCCCAACCACTGATTCTATATTTGAACAATACCATAGGATGCTATAAGCTAATAATCTTCAAGTATCTCCTCCATCATAAAATCTTGTCAATGCAGAAGCAGCGTTTCTTAAGAAAAGACTTATCCCAATTTCCTAACTTCCTAATTCAGCCCAGTTGTCCACAGTGCACATATTCTCTTCTGATAGGTAAAGGAAAAAATATTTAATTTCCACACTGCACTAGTATGCTCTCATCCACAGTGTATATACATGATTTCATTTCCTTTTCACCAACCTATCAGAGACAAATGGTAATTATGTCTAGTAAGTGCAAACACTAAACACGAGCAGCACAGAATACAAACATATCCCTCTCTCTACACATGACACTAATCCTAGTAACTCAACAGAGGAGTTGATAACACAGTTTTGGAAGTTTCACTGGGAGCTAAGACGAATGCCCAAACAGTGATTCTGCCAAAGGTGACAGCAACGCCTCAAATAAAGCCATCACCAATCCTAACCAACAGAAAAAGAGCTGCCTCTGCAAGCGCTCAGTAACACTGACTGCCCTCCCTCTCTCAAGTAACCCTTCTAAGGAACGTGAAGTAAATTATCAGGACCAAAGCTCAAGCGATAAGAGTCTACCTACTCCAGGGAAAGAAACTCCTGTCACACAAACATCTCATCACTGCTGCTGAACTGGTAATACTACCACTAGACTAAAAAGTTCCACTGCTTCTCCACCTCACAGCGATCCAAGAACTTCAATGACTGCCAGTGACCCACACGCTACACGTAAGTCAGCAATACTTGCAGGCACAAAGATTCCCATCTTACGCAGTAACCAGCACCACCAGACCATATCCCAGTAACCAAGCTCCAAACCTCTCCTAAAACCCCAGTATTAAAATACATCATCACTGGAGGGCCTTTGAAGTCCGACAAGGTCCTGACTTGGTCCTACCAACGCAGACTAAGGACAATCCTAAATCAAAACAAATAGGCTCCCTGTCCAGCCAACACCCACTCCTCCCTTAACCTCGAGCTCGTTTCGCACAGTCAGCGTGGGGGCACTCTGAGAGGGTGGGCAGAGGGACCTCGGAGGGCCCTCCCAGCTCCAGGCTGAGCCTGGACTCTAGGCTATCTTTCTCGAGCTCACCGCTAGTGAGGGCTGGGAAGCATCTGCGCCGTGTCCCCGCACCTGGAGACAGTACCAGTCTCTCGGCCACCTAACACCCAAGCAAGGGGAAAGCCCAGCACCTAGACTGAGGCCGAGCAGCACGTCCTCGTCCCCGGGGTTAGTTCGGAGCTTCTCCCCCGCTCTCAGACTGCCACGCGACGGCTCGCCCCTCGCAGCCCCGTGGAGGGCGCCGGCGCCCCCTGTCAGGCGGGCAAAGGATACAGTCCCGGCTCCAGAACGCCGCGGCACCAGGGCGGGAGGGGCCCGCCACGTCCGCCATCTTGAAACAACCGCCACTCGGGGCGTCGCGCCAGGGCCGCCACGCCTCGGCCTGCAGGCTCGGTCCCGATTGGCCGCACCACGCAGAAGCCCGCCCCCTCCTGCGCGGACGGCCCTTGCGGGGCGAGAGGGTCGGAGCGAAAGGGAAGCTGCGTCCCGGAGGTGCGGTGTGCGGGACCGGGCGGGGCCGCGGGAACCAGCGCCCCGCGGAGCTGCTGCTGTCAGACCATCCCCGGGCCCCCATCATCACTGCGCCGCGCTCTCAGGCGCCGAGAACTACAGTTCCCGGCATGCCATGAACTTGGCCTCGGCGCTGAGGCGGGGTCCGGTCCTCCACCCGCTCCCGCCGCGCGCGGATCGGGTTCGCGAGCCATGGAGGAGGAGGCGTCGCCCCCGGGGCTGGGCTGCAGCAAGCCGCACCTGGAGAAGCTTACCCTGGGCATCACGCGCATCCTAGGTGAGGGGTCGGGGCACGGTGCCGAGAGGGTGTGGAGGAGAAGGAAGGAGGAGCGGAGGGATGAAGTGTGGGGTGGACGGCGCGACGCTGGCCCCTCAACAGGAGTGGACATCGCTGTTGGGACTTCCGTTGTTACGGAGGAAAATGGGGGACCTGGGTTTGTGATTAGGCCTTGGAAGTGTTTGCCAGGAGTGTTCGGAGGCAGAACTGGGAAGCCTGAAAGTTCCTCCGCTTACCACCACCCAAGGTCCCACCCTGGAAGGACGTACAAAGTCGTGGAAAGGGAACACAGCAAGCACCTGACGGTTGGGAGGTTGGATCTCCCTCTAGGAGGCATTCTCAGCCAGGGCATTCTGAGCCAGGGCATTCTCCCCGAGACCCAAGTCCTTTCTCTGAGGGAAAAGTGATGCGCCCGACCTCCCAGGGCGACAACTACTTCGGGTCTGAAAGGAATCCCACCTTGCACCACTGAATGACTTAGAGTGTTTCTTTTATCGAACATTTGTTTATTTGTTTGTTTTTTGTTTTTTGAGACAGTTTTGCTCTTGTTGGCCAGGCTGGAGTGCAATGGCGCGATCTCGGCTCACTGCAACCTGCGCCTCCCGGGTCCAAGCAATTCTCCTGCCTCGCCCAGCTAATTTTTTGTATTTTTAGTAGAGACGGGGTTCCACCATGTTGGCCAGGCTGGTCTCGAACTCCTGACCTCAGGTGAGCCACCCGCCTCGACCTCCCAAAGTGCTGGGATTACAGGCGTGAGCCACCGCGCTTGGCCTATCAAATGTTTCTTTAGTACTCACCACTATGTTAGACTCTGAGGTTAAAATATGAAAAAGACACAGTTCTGTGAAAAAATAAACAAATGAGGGCCCTAGGAGTGTGAAGAGAGGTCAGTAATCTACTGTTACTCAGAGATGTCACAGAGGAAGGGACTGATCTTATCAGGGATGTTAAAGAACATGTCACAGAGGAGACGATGCTAGATTTTGAAAGACATATGGGAGTTAGCCAGAAAACCAAGGAGGAGAAAGGTCTTTTAAGAAGGCTGAAAACCATGCTTCAGTGCCTTCCCATCACAATTACAATAAAATCCAAATGTCTGTACCATGACCTGCAAGTCCCTGCATGATCTGCTCTCATCTCTTTCTGACTTTATTTCTACTCTTTTGCCCACATGGCCTTCTAGCTGTACCTTAAACACACTAAGCGGGTTCCTGCTTCAAGGCTTTTGCAATTTACTAGTCCTTGCACCTGGAATTATCTTTCTCTGAATGTCTTGCTTCTTCAGGTCATTCAGATCTCTGATCAAATGTCATTGCTTCAGAGAAACCTTTCCTGAATATAGTTTGAATAACCATCATCTTTCTTGCTCTCTCTTTCCTTACCCTGCTTTTTCTTTTATCCCTATAGCACTTTCACTACTTGAAATTATGTATTTGTTTGGTTGATTTTAAAAATGTGTGTCTCTTTTAATAGAAGAAGTCCAAGACCAAGTGTGATTTAGGAATGCGTGGTTTTAACATATGAAAATCAATTAATAGCTGGGCATGGCAGCCCATGTCTTTAGTTCCAGCTACTAGGGAGGCTGCGGTGGGAGGGTCACTAGAGTCCAGTACGAGTGCAGCTGGGCAACATAGCAAGACTGTGTCACTAAAAAAAAAAAGAAACTGAAAAAAAAAAAAAGAAAATCAATTAATATAATACAACTTACTAATGGAATAAGACAAAAACTGCATAATCATCTTAATAAAGAAAAAGCACTTGACAAAATCTAACATCCTTTCTTGATTAAAAAAAAAAAAAACCAAACTAGAAATAGGATAGGATAAAGGACCTAGACAACCTGATAAAGGCGTCTATGAAAAACCCACATCTAACATCATATGTAATGGTAAAAGACTGGCAGCTTTCCCCTTAAAATCAGGAACAAAACTTGTATTAGGGTTCCCCAAGATCACACCAGATTCAATGATTTGATGCAAGGATTACAGGACTCAGGAGATAGTCCTACTCATGGCTATGATTCATTACAACAAAAGGATTTTGGCAGCCCGATTGGCAGGCCTTTCTAAGGATTATTGTCTCAGGCCTGCTATGTTCACTCTTTTCTGCATAGCAAAAATTCCACTTTTATCACTTCTCTTCAACATTGTACTGGAGTTTCTAGCTAGAGCATTAGGCAAGAAAATGAAATAAAGACATCCAACTGAAAAGGAAGAAATTAAACTGTTTGCCGATGACATGATCTCGTATATAAAAAATCCTAAGGAATCCACAAAAAAAGAAAAAACCTATACATCACCAATGAACAATACAAAAATAAAACTAAGAGAACAATTCAATTTACAATAGTATCAAAAAGAACAAAATGTAGCTGGCACAGTGGCTTACACCTGTAATCCCAACACTGGGAGGCCAAAGTGAGAGGATTGCTTGAAACCAGGAGTTGCACACCAGCCTGGGCAACATAGTCTTTATGAAATATTTTAAAATTAGCCACGTGTAGTGGTGCATGCCTTAGTCCTAGCTACTCAGGAGGCTGAGACAGGAGGATCACTTGAGCCCAGGAGTTTGAGGCTACAGTGAACTATGATCACACCACAGCACTCTAGCCCAGGAGACAAGAGTGAGACCCTATCTCAAAAAAAAAAAAAAAAAAAAAGAATAAAATAGGAATAAATTAACACAAGATGTCCATGACTTATGTACTGAAAAGTACGTACGACTGTGGAAAGAAATTGAAGAAGACCAAAATAAATGAGAAGGCATACCATGTTTATGGATTGGAAGAGTTAATATTGCTAAAATCTGTTACTCCCCAAATTGATCTACAAATCTCAGATCTACAGTTCCCATGAAAATCTCAACTGTGTTTTGTAGAAATCGAGAAGCTGATTTAATCCTAAAATATAATATAGAAATGCAAGAGACCCAGAGTAGCCAAGACAAACTTTTCTTTCCAAAAACAGGAAAAAAGTTCCTCTTACTCACATTTCCCTATACTATATTTGAGATGATGGAAAAGTTCTGGTGATAGTTGTACAACAGTGTGAATGTACTTTATGCCACTTAACTGTACACTTAAAATTGACCAAAATGATGGATTTTATGTTATGTGTATTTTACTACAATTTTAAAAATTTAAAGCCACAGTTGTCTTCAGAGTGGTTGTGGCATAAAAATAGAAATCTAGATCAATGAAATAAGATTGAAAGTCCAAAAATAAACATCATATTTATGATTCATTGATTTTTTTTTTTTGAGCGGAGTCTCGCTCTGTTGCCCAGGCTGGAGTGCAGTGGCATGATCTCGGCTTACTGCAAGCTCTGCCTCCTGGGTTCTGGCCATTCTCCTGCTTCAGCCTCCTGAGCAGCTGGGACTCCAGGTGCCTGCCACCACGCCTGGCGAATTTTTTGTATTTTTAGTAGAGACGGGGTTTCACCATGTTAGCCAGGATGGTCTCTATCTCCTGACCTCATGATCCACCTGCCTCGGCCTCCCAAAGTGCTAGGATTACAGGTGTGAGCCACTGCGCTCAGCCTGGTTCATTGATTTTTGACAAGTATGTTAAGACTTCTCAATGGGAAAAAATAGTTTTTCAACAAATGGTTCTAGATTTCTACATGTAAAATAATGAAATTGGACCTCTACCTCAAATGATATACAAAAATTAACTCCAAAAGTATCTTAGACCTACATGTAACAGCCAAAACCATAAGACTCTTGGAAGAAAACAGTCCTTAGGTTACTTTTTAAAGTGACCTTGAATTAGGCACTGAATTCTTACATATCACAAAAGCATAAGCGACAAAAGAAAAATAGATAAATTGGGCTTAATCAAAATTTAAAATGTGCTTTTAAGGATACAGTCAAGACAGTGACAAAACAATCCAAAAAAATAGGAGAGGATATTTGTAAATCATATATATGAAAGGGGACTTACAGATCTGCAAAGAACTCTTACAACTCAATAAAAGACAAATAATTCAATTTTAAAGGATCAGGGTAGACGTTTCTCCAAAGATACACAAATGGCCAGTGAGCACACATAAAGATGATTATCACCATTAGCCATTAGGGAAATACAAATCAAAACCATAATGAGATTTCACTTCACACCCACTAAGATCGTTATAGTCAAAAAGACAGATACAGCAATTGTTGGTGAGGGTATGGAGATATCATACACTGCTGGTGGGGATGTAAAATGTAAAATGGCACAGCAGCTTTGAAAACTAGT